AAGCTGAGACTGGTAATTGTACACCTTGGGCAGACCTCTGAAACAATTTTGTCCAACCTCCTCATTTTATAGTTGTAGAAGCTGATGTGCCCCCAAGTAAACCACACCCGTGGGAGACCAGAACCTGACCTTCCTCCCTCTTCCGGCGCTACCCTGTCCTAATATGTCATGAAGGCTCTCTCCTCCACGGTCAAGTTGGTGAATTCCTTTCATCCCATGTGACAGAATCCAAGTGTCCCACACAACTGTACCTAACCTGCCTCCTTGCTGCAAACTGGTTTCCTTTAGATTTTGCTTAAACAGATGACGTTTAGAGAGATTTTCCCCACAGCGATTCTAAAACCCGAAATACCAATCTTCTGTTTCCATGAAGGACTCTGAAGTAGAAACACTAAGTGAAACATCAACTGCAGGTCCTATTCATATTCACTGCCTTTCTTAGATTTAAAACCATACCCCTTAAGGAATGAAATAAATTCACTCTTACAGGGCTATTCAAATGTGATTTAGGGACTGATGTAGATCATTAAATTATCTGTTACTGATCAGCTACAACAGTTTGGGAAATGGTCAGCATTTAGTGACCTTTATATCAAGCATGGGTTTTGCCATAACATTTGAGTGAAGTCTTCTTGTTGAACACAGTAATACTAGATCAGATGTTGCTGAACTCAAGTGAGGAGTCAAATACAAACTCCATTCTAGTCCTAGCAAAATATGACCACATATCATCAGTGGCACAATGAGTCTGAACAAGAGAAAATCCTGGCCCCACACCAAAGACAATTCTCAAGAGCAGTGTACTGTTCTCATTTGCTCAAGGAGAAAACTTTATCCTTCAGAAACCGGTTTTAGAATGAGGAGGATAATGAACTCAAGTAACTCTAAGAGTCAGGAAGGTACTGGAAATGAGTGAAGTGGGTCATACATGAGTTACAACAGTGAAGGGTGAACACTGTGGCCAACCAGAGAGGCCCAGCAGTCACGGGACAGCAGCCAGGCTTCTTAATGTGACAATACCCACGTCTGCCCAGACATTTTGAGTTCACCAGAGAAGCCAGTAACTGAGGTTGTTATGTTAAAAGTTCTTGATTTTGAATGTTGGCAGCCGATGAATTTTCCTTTAAATACATCATTGCAGGCCTAATGATCCCATCTGCTGCCTACATTATGTCTGAGGAACCACTTTATAAGTTGTTCTTTAGGGAAATGATTTACTGAAGTTCATAGATAGTCATTATTCTTGAATTCTACTTTGAGGCTCCAAGGGCCCTTTCTGAAGAGTCAGGCGATCTCCCTCTGGCCATATCCTATAGGATCTGTCAGATTCGGGGACTAAGGGAGCGTGGGCCTTTAAACATCTTGGTTCCCAAAGGTTGTTCTCAGTGGGAGCCAAGCCTAATGCCCTGGCCTCGTGCTCATGCCAAACCCAAGCCCAAATGACTTCTCAGGTTCCCCCCAGAGTCAACTCTCCGGCTCATCTCTTCTCACACATTTTGTTTTCTGCTGTGCTGACGTGTGTCTGACCCCAACCCACCCTGATATGCCTTTTGATCCCAGACCTGGTTTGGCAGCTACACACTCCCCAGCCCGTCTCTACTCTTTCTGGTTTTAGTTTTCCATTCCCAACAGGGCACTAGTCGTCAGTGGTGTTCTCTCTCCAGGGCCCAAGCTAGAACTGACCCTTCCTCATCACCCCCTACCCCCACCTCCCACTTTTTTTTAATGCACAAAGGGCCTAAACTTGGGTGGCTCATTCTTTGCCAAGGGCAGTGAGTCCCACTCTCCACCTGCTGCCTCTGGGTGGAGGACTCCTGTGCACATGTAGGAGGGGGATTTGGCAGGGGCTGCATTTACACCCATGCTGTGCTGGCCGTGGCCTCCATTTCTCCTGCGAAATCCCCAAGCACAGTTCTAAAGGGATGGCAGTAGTGCTCTGCCTGATTGTCCCATGCCCCTGTGACCACAGAGGGCTTGTCAACGTGACGTCACTGAAGCTCCACCCTGAAATTCCACCTTGGACACTGGATAGTCTGAGGGAGCCCAGGAAGCCTAGCTCCCTACAGGTATCACAGTGACCGTGAGTGAGGACTACTGCACGGACTGTAAGGTGACCACCTGACCTAGGTCTCCTAACCCGACATGGTTTATCCACCTACTCCCACATCTCTGGCCTTACTGTTTGTTTATTTTTGAGAGAGACAGACAGTGTGAGCAGGGTACAGGCACAGAAAATAGGAGACAGAATCTGAAGTAGGCTCCAGGCTCTGAGCTGTCAGCACAGAGCAGGATGTGTGGCTCAAACCCACAAACCATGAGATTACAACCTGAGCCAAATTTGGATGCTTAAGCACCAGAGCACCCCTTCTCTGGCCTTTAATGAATTCCTCAGCTGTGCCTTCTGGTGAAGTACCCAGGAGGCTATTTTGTGCTAAAACTAGCCACAGCCATGAGCCAAAATCCACTGCTTATGAAAATCAGACAGCTATTTAACCAACATATCAAGGTCTTAGCATAATGACTGCTTCCCTGGCTTCACCCACCCTGGAGACAGTCCCCGTTGGCCAAAGGACACTGGAGTATGAGAAACCACGCCCCCGACACAAAGACGCTCCACTTCCGGGATGGCGTGGCAACGTGGGTGCTGTCCTGTGACCAGGTGAAGGCGAATCCACGGGCAACTGCGGGGGAGACACCTGCTTGCTACTCAAACGAAGTCAGGAGTAACCGCTGAGCTTGGCGAAGGTGAAGAGGGCTTCCTGGCTCTCCATAATAAATCACAGCTGGGTGAGCTACACATCTTGACAGTGAGGTTTCTGTAAATATCTGGTTGGATGGCATCAGGGACCAAGAAAACTTTCTTGGATTTATACAAGCACATATTCCAATGAGCTAAAAACACAACCATGACACTATTATTGTCAGGACACTCCTGTGAAGTAGCAAAGGCTAAGCCAGCTCCACGCTTTAACAGATGGTGGAAGGAAGCAGAGAGAGGGTGGGTGAGTCCCCAGGCAGAGGGGAGCAGAGAGGAAACCAGGCTGAGGCCCATCTGGCTCCTGGGTGTGCCTCTGGCTTCTTCCTCTGCGTGGCACCCTTCTGTCTCTCCCCAAGGTTCAGCAGGCTGCGGTCTCACAGCCAGGGGCCCAGGCCCCCGGCCATCATGTGAGACCCAGGCCAGGGGCCCCTGGGGAAGCACGTGTAAGCATCTGGTCTACAGAAAGGGACAGACATGCAGCTATGCATGAGGGACGTACTCTGCGCAGGGCACTGTCTTATGCAGCAGTGGACAGGCACACCTTGACTTAATCTCTGCGAAAATCCAAAGACGGAGGAACTCTTATGGTCCCCATTTCACACACGACGGTGCTTTTCAGAGGGAACAGAGGAATGTCCCAGATCACATGGCCAGAAAGGGGTGAACTGGGATGGCCACCCCAGCTCCTCTGATCCCTCTGTCGAAGCTGCCTAGGCAACCTCTGAGCAGCCCTCTGTGACAGTCCAGGGGGCTGCAGTGGGGGGGGGAGGTGGGGCTGAGCACCTGATGAACAGGAGAAAATGTTAAATGTTGTCACAGGAAGGGGAAAGGCTGCCAGAACGCTTGATGTGACAACTATTTTTAACCTAAAACACCAAAAGAGTGTTTATAGGAATTGTACGTACTTGTGAGTCCACCACTTGGGACAGAACTTACACAGAACATACTTCTGCCTCCCCAAATAAGTCTTCAGCCCCTGCGAACTCTATGTTGCTCCATCAAGTATAGGATCACAGGTGGGTTAGCAGTTTCATTGAGAAGGAGATTATTACAGGTGTTTATTATGGGGTATATTTATAAATAAATCTATCAACAATAACCATTAAGAACTTCCAGGATGAGAGTGCCTGGGAGGCTCAGTCAGGCATCTGACTCTTGGTTTCGGCTCACGTCATGATCTCACAGCTGATGGGATTGAGCCCCACATTCGGCTCTGCACTGGTGGTAGGGAGCTTGCTTGGGATTCTCTCTCTCTCTCTCTCTCTCTCTCTCTCTCTCTCTCCCTCTCCCACATGCTCTCTCTCAAAATAGATAAACATTAAAAATTATTTAAAAAGGAACTTCTAGGATTGCATGCCTTAGGCCAGACAGTACCTTTCATAGTACTATATGGTTTACCAGTGCCCACAAGAGAGGGCAGAAGGATATTCTCCACAGATACCACAGCACTAGCCAATAATCCCTACCTCAAGTCCTTTTTTGGAATGAGGTGGGGTCCAAGGGAATCAAATCAACCTGAGCATAGTTCCTCTTGCGGGCACCTCTTCATGGTTTCCCCGTCACTCAGTCTTNTTAGGCCAGCTAGTACTACAGTACCTTTCATAGTACTATATGGTTTACCAGTGCCCACAAGAGAGGGCAGAAGGATATACTCCACAGATACCACAGCACTAGCCAATAATCCCTACCTCAAGTCGTTTTTTGGAATGAGGTGGGGTCCAAGGGAATCAAATCAACCTGAGCATAGTTCCTCTTACGTGCACCTCCTCATGGTTTCCCCGTCACTCAGTCTTCAGGTGACGCCCCTGTCCCATTAAGTTCATGTCAGCTGCTATGCCGCCCTGTCCACCCACCCCCGCTGCCCGTCACACCTCCTGACTTCTACACGTTCCCGTCCCCAATACAGCCTTTGGCACCTCAGTCGTGGTCTTCAGCCCCCGTCCTCGCTCTGGGAATTCAACATGCCTGGGAGGGCCACCCCCACTCCGCCAACCTCCTGGCCTCACAGGCCTGGACTCGCCCAGAGCCAATGAGAAAGTCTCTTCCCCACAAGCAGCTACTCCCTCAGGGCCACTCCCCACACTGTCCCCAGAGAAACCGCTCCCTGAAATGCCTGAGTCCAGCATCCCACACCGACCGCCCCATCCTCCCTCCCCTCCCCCTGGGAGATCTCCTCCCGGATGTCGGACAGACACCTCCAATGCAGAATGACAGAAACAGGCCAGTCAGAGGCATGGCACTTGATTTAACTCCTTTATTATATACTGATGACAGCAGCCAGGGATTCCTTAGCTATGAGATGCTTTGTCTAAGACTAAGGCTGTGAGGACTCGCTCCAGGCTCCAGGACCCAGGCTTTAGCCATTTCTCCTGGTTCCGCGCATCTCATCAAACAGAGTGAAGGCTGCATCCTTCAAGTGTTGGTGGGACTCTCTGCTATTGTCCACTGCTCTCTCATCTTGGGGAACAGTATGCATACTGCTGGTGCTGGCATCATTGCCTACCATCTCCAGGATGTAGTCAGTAAGGTGGTCAAGCATGGTAAGGAGGAAATCATTTGTGGATGAACTCGAGCCTCGGCTATGTTGATCCCCCGGCAGGAGGCGATCCACATAGCTCACAGGACACTGTAACATAGTTGTTATAAGATGGGCTGGAGACTGACAGGAGCTCTCCTGGATTTTTTCCCCCAACATGATGTTGGCTGGGTTTGGCTCCAATCAGCTCTGATTCTCCAGCTGGATTAGGCCTCTCAAGACACCAGCAGTCAACCCTCCACACTATATCCCTAGGCTCTCGACCCTCATTGGACAGGGAGCTGCCTTTGTGACTGTGATATCGCTGGTGCCCATTGTGTCATCAGACGTCAGCCTAGAAACGTTCAGGACAGGAATGTGGTCACCCTAATGACTGGAATTGATTTTGAGAGAACTGTAATTTTCTGCTTATTTTAACATTGTAAAGATAAATGTGTGTTTCAATGGAAAACTTTTCTTAGGACACCACTCCACATTATCTGATTCTAGCCTTCTATTGTCTCTATGGTCTTTTATAATCCTTTGTTATAGGTTAGTGATAAACATATAAAATATCTAGTAGAGATTACATGGACCCCCCCCATGATAAAATAAGACCAATTTTGCCTCAGTTTACACATTCACTTAAATGTTACTGATTACTATTCCTGCATCTAATCCTTGGATTCTCTATGAACCTGTTTTAACTTCTTCCCATTCCCTCATGTAACTAAACAGTATCTTTGAACACATGTTTATTTCATACCTGTATTAGTGTCTTGATTTTACACTGTTGGAAAAATATCCCTTGATCATTTTGGAAGTCATAATGAGATGTTTCTATGTCAGAATCAGGTAAACATCGTGGAGAAAGAAAAGTGTACCTCGGGTTTAGTTTAACCGCAGTTGTCTTCTTGGCACCAAGAGATGTTTCCTCTCATTTTTGTCTTTGTAATTTTCCTCTCCACTGTTTGTGTTTCTGCTTTCTTTTTGGTTCATTTACGGCTAATAACAGTTATAGACTGTTCCAGTGCAAAAGAGAGAAGTAGAAGGAATAGAGGAGTCTCTGATCCAAGCAATGTGGATCAAGGAGGCAAAACTACATAGGTTTCAAGGCCTGAGAACAATCTTTTGTGGCTTGAGCTTCCTCCCTCTGGTCCCATGACTTTACCTGCATCCATAGCTCTGCCCTCTAGGCCTCAGGCTCTGTCCTCAAAATCATCTGTCCTTTATTTTGAACGGAGCACATACTTAGAGCTGAGTAGTTTTGTCACCTTGTTTTCCTCTTGTCAAATTTTTAGTCCCATAGACTTCTTTTATTTCTTCATCTATCCTTTCAGTTAAAGATGACATTGATTCTGCTGATTCAGATACTCAAAAGTCTTGTAGTCTCCCATGTATGCCATGGGGATTCTGTCTTTAAACAAGAGACTTGTGGGGCGCCTGGGTGCCTCAGCTGGTTAAGCGTCCGACTTCGGCTCAGGTCATGATCTCATGGGTTGTGGGTTCAAGCCCCGCGTCGGGCTCTGTGCTGAGGAATAGCTCAGAGCCTGGAGCCTGTTTCAGATTCTGTGTCTCCCTCTTTCTCTGACCCTCCCCTGCTCACTCTGTCTCTATCTCAAAAATAAATAAAACATTAAACAAAAAAACAAAAAACAAGAGACTTGTTCACAGTCCCTCCAGGAAAATGCCATCCCAATTCAGTGCTTCTGCTGAGATGGCTGGAGGTTATCCATGATCCACACCCACATACTGCTTCAGAGAGCCCTCTGTGTGATTGAATACTTTAATCTTTTGATCCCTCAAAGATGTCTAGCGACATGCTTGATTTTTATCTCCACAGGACACTTTCCTGACATAAATCCTTTCCTTTCAATGTCTTTTGCAATCTAGATAGGCTGAGGATTGCTCCTATCTTCAAGTCCTCCTTCCTTTTTGCTTAATAGGTGTTTCCTCAATTTACTGTCCTCTAGCATTTTACTATAAGTAGCAGGAAGAAACAAGGGCACACCTTCAACACTTTTCTTGGGAATCTGCTCAACTAAATCTTCAATTAATTGTCTACAAGTTCTGCTTTCTGTGTAACTGTAGGACAAAATTCAGCCAAGATTTCTGCTACTACATGATGAGAATCCCCTCTTCTCCATTTTCCATTATGATGTTCTTCATTTCTAAACCTTTACCACGAACACCTTTGACATTTATATTTCCATTAATAAGTTGTCTTTGATGATTTAGAGGTCTCCTCTACAGCAATGCACATCTTCTTCTCCACTGTGTTCCTTACTTCGGTTTGGGCTCTCACCAGCAGCACTTTTAATATCCACATTTCTACTAACTGTTCAAGGTAACCTAGGATTGTTTTTTATCATACTTCTCAAAATCATTGCAGCCGAAAGCCATTATCCAATTCCAAAGCCATTTTCACATTTTTAGATCCTCGTTATGGCAGCAAACCACTTCCTTTTACCAAAATCTGTATCAGGTTCCTATGGCTGCTAATGAATTACTACAGATTTGGTGACTTAAAGGAATACATATTTATAGGTCACCTGGGTAGCTCCGTCAGTTGAGCACCTGGCTTTTGATATCAGCTCAGGTCATGATCCCAAGGTCTGGGATCGGGCTCTGTGTGGAGTGTGGAGACTGCTTAGGATTCTCTCCTCCTCCTCCTCCTCCCCCTCCTCCTCCTCCCCCCCTCCCCCGTTCATGTGCTCTCTCTAAAAAATAAACTATATCTTTAAAAAATACATATTTAGTCTCGGACAGCTCTGGAGGTAACAAGTCCAAAAGAGTGCCGCTGGGCTGAAAACAAGTTGCCAGCAGGGCCATGCTCCCCCTGGAGGATCTAGAGGAAAATCTGTTTCTTGGACGTTTCCAGCTCCCGGAGCCACATTTCCTTGCATCTCTTGCCTGTAGCCCCATCCTTCATCTTCACGGTCAGCAGTGTAGCGTCTTGCATTAGTGGTCAAATTTCCTTTTTTAGTCTCACATCTCTCTCTGCCTCCCTCTTATATGGCCATGTGTGTTTGCACTTGGATTCTATCAGATGATAATCATCTCTCATCTCAAGATCCTTATCTTAATCTTACATGTGAATTCTCTTTTGCCATCTAAGGTAACACTTGCAAGCTCCAGAGATTTGGATCTGGTTATCTTTGGGGGCCATTTTTCAGCCTACCATGATAAGTATTCCCAGGAAACTAATAGGGAAGTGAGGATTTGAGACAGGGGAGGGGAGGAAGCAAACAAAATGTCTCCAATTAATCAGCTAACTATCACTGAAGAACTTTAGGGGACACTAGAAGATACACTCTCCAAGGGAAGGTATTGCCCCAGCATTCTGGACTGTCCTGCTATTGGGCAGCGGGCTCTGAAAGCCAAGTAAAAGCCCTTCCACAAAGAAATGAAGGCTTGAACATCTGGAAGTCAGGCAAATATGTATCTAATTGGTATGTGATATGATGATATAGGCAGGCCCCTGACAGCATCTTCTACACAGTCATGTTTATATACTTTCCTTATAAATTGTTTCCCTTCCATCCTTACCTCCTGCCTGCTCTTCTCATATTTAACAAATGTTTACTGTGCAGCTGTCTGGTAGCAAGCACTGAGATGCTAGATCTTCAGTGGCAAACAAAACAGACAACTATTTTGTCCTTCTGAAGCATCCAGTCCAGTGGGAAAGACAGATGTCCAAAGAAATGTGTAATTCCAAACTGTCATGCAAACCTTGGTTTGCAAGCATAATTTATTCCAGAAACAGGCTTGGAATCCAAAGCACTTGTATATCAAAGCCAATTTCCCCATAAGAAATAGTGAAAACTCAGATGATTCATTCCACAACCCAAAAATATTCATATAAAACTGACTACTGTAATATACAATGCAAAATAAGGAAACTACAAAATATAAGGATAAATAAATTAGCCTGCACTTACCTTTGAAAACCTTTCTGGCTGGTGTGAGGGAAAGAAGAGAGAAAATTATCATGTAGGATGGCTTTCACTATCACTAATGGAATCACTGCTATCTACTGGCTCAGTGGAATCTTCTTCTGCATGGGGGCCCTTGTATACACTCACACAGATGTTGACTCCAGTACAATATTAATATACTATCATATATAATTAATATACTGTCAGGGTGCCTGGGTGGCTCAGTTGGTTAAGAGGCAACTTTGGCTCAGGTCATGATCTAACAGTTCATGGGTTCGAGCCCCACAATGGGCTCTGTGCTGACAGCTAAGAGCCTGCAGCCTGCTTCAGATTCTGGGCCTCTCTTTCTCTCTGCCCCTCCCCCACTCACGCTCTGTCTCTCTCTCAAAAATAAATACAAAAATTTGAATTAATATACTGTCATATATAATGACAGAATATAATGTCATATACTGTATTTAATGTAATTGGCAATTAGGCAGCAGAGGAAAAGGTCTATATCTGCAGGCAGCCTGGCCTAGAATGAAGCAAAGCATTCCTAAGCTTATTCTTATACGGAAAAACAAAGGACTGTCCAAAGGTGCTTTGAAATGGCAAAAATACACTAGTGCCAGTTGTGGGCACCTTCCAACATTCTGAAAAATCACTGATTTCTGCCAAACAGCCTAGCCTGAGACCAACCATCCGAGCATGGGAGACGATCATCCACACTGCCACAGCGAGCAAGTGAGAGAGAGACAGAGAGCGAGAGTGAAGAACCACTGGCTCAGTTGTGATCAGGTGACATCTGGCATCCCGTACTACTCGTATCACAAGGCATCGCTCATTTACCAAGTTAAAATTTATGAGATGTTTACTCATCTTGTGAAACACTAACAAGTTAGTCACAATCCAAGGTTTTACTGTATATGCAAAAATCACGTTCATGTTCATTCAGATATGAGAGATGGATCCAAGTTCCAGAAAGTCTATTCAAGTCCAGATTTTCCTTGTTTGTGGGTAGATACAAGGTCATCTTAACCCCCAATCCTTTTTTTTCACTCATGTTTGGTTATATTACTTTTATTTAAAATTCCTCCAGTACATTAGCAGCTTAGGAAGGAGCCCATTCCCATCTTTCTGTAATGTTCTTTCTCTTACCTCATCTCTACCTTATTCCATATTCCCGTGCCAGTTCTCAGTCTCACTATCCCTTCCTCAGAGGATATTCCTTGATCACTCGATTTAAGTTACATGCTTTTCTTGTGTCTTAATTCATTTTTAATGTAATGCGGTTCTCAGGTGAAGATACTTTTGCCCGTTAGGGGACATCTGACAATGTATAGAGAT